TGAACAGACGCACGGCAACTTGGAATCTATTTGTTAAATGTACATATTGATAGTATATGGTGTATATACATATATTTATATCAAAGTGAATTCACCAGAACATAACCAAGGGAGCAGCAAACTCAAATTCCATTTCAAAGCACATATTAGTGAAAATTGCTATGCGTGCCTTCATGCGAAAACTTAGCCATCAGGTTTTTAGGACTCTCAACCACCCTCCAACTACAGGGTGTTCACCCACTAGCTGAGCTGTTGTAGGGCATGAACCTGACTGTCAATCTTGTAACAACAGGCATGTTTTTTGGAAATTCAAGCAGATATATATGAATATATACCATAGTAATTTAGTTATAAGGCTCACAGTTTTTGAGTTGAGCAGGAACTGAGCAGGAGTGTTATGGAAGACAGATATTGCATGCAACACATATAGTTAACTGAAAACTTTTCACAATAGAAGAATACATTGCTTGCATCTACCTGTTGATATGCATGGTATCAGAGCTTGTTCATGCTATAAAATTATTTTTCAAAAGTTATGAATTTCTTTTGACTTGTTCTTCCAAACTTTCAAGAGTATCACAGATGGCTGTTATGGGTTATGAAAAAGGCAGGGAAAAAAACATTTCTTCAAGGTCAAGAAAAGATGGAATTTTCACTTTGAGTCAGGGAAATTTCCACACTGAAAAAAAGCAAAGGAAAAGTGATATTTTTACTAAATGATTACAATAGATTTTACTCTTTCATTTTTGTAAAGCTGGTGTCACTCACGTTACTCATGTACATTGTTTACAACAGTTGATAGATTCCTGAACAGCTCATCCTTTCTCTTTGTTATGCAAGTTCAAGTTGGTTGTAAATGAAATTGTACATTTGTTTTTTTCTGTTCTTATTGTTTTCTTACATTGTGAATTCTAAGTTACATTTCAAAATCATGAAAGGTGTTGGAAGGGTAGAAGTCGTGTGGAGAGGCTGGCTGTAAGTGGAGGATGGCGGCCATTGTCAGGGTTCGTTTTGAAAGTTTTAATACAGTTGGCCAAGGGAAATTTAGTTTTGTCAGGGAAAATTCAATTAAAAGTCGGGGAATATCAAATTCCTTTGAATTTGGCAACCAGATGTTTGTTTAGCATGGTGCTTACGCAACATATCGTTCAAAATTCAATCAGGGTATTTTCCATATCAGAAAATATGACCACTCAAACCCATAAATAATTTTTGGAATCGCTCGGCATTGCTTAAAAAAGGTCATAAATACTCAGTAAGTTTAAATAAGGTTTCCTGTGGGATGTTAGAGAAAATTTCTGAGTGCTGGGCATTTAGACCATTTGAGACCGTGCCCGGCTGCTTTAAATTAAAGGTCCTTTTAAAACAGTTACGCTGAACCTGTCTGAGGGTTTAAGTTCAACCTTTGCCTGAAAAAAAAGAAAGAACCAGCCGGGTTTTCTCGGGTTGACCACCGTTTTGGAAAAATTTGACTGAGCACCTGTGGGGTTGAGGCAAGAGAGGTTCCACGAGAGGTCTTCAGCAATCTTTGGCACACAACCGATCACGCGATGACTCACGCGATATTCAAGTCAATATGGCGACTAAAGAGCGAGAAGAACTGGGTACGAAGAAGAAAGAGAAAGCGACCAAACTGGCGACTCGGCAGAAAAAAACTATAAAAAAGTACAAACAAGCAAAACAAAGGAAAGGTAATCTAGTTTTTTGATTTAAGTACAGAGACGTATCTTATTCAAAATTTTAAACTACAATTTAATACGATAATATGATGATAACAATAATATTGCTTTATTTATGTAGCGCTATTTCCTGTAGCTCAATAGCGCTTTACAATGATTACGATCAAAAATAAAAAATCGAAATTTTACAATTGCAATATTGGAGCCGGGAGGAGAGATAAAAAACCATCAATAACTGGAGGAGAATTTAACTGTCGCATACTTAACTAATTATAAGATTGATTAAAAATATGTGTCTTTAGAAGGATCTTAAAATTTGATAGTGAGCTGCTCTGTTTAATATTGTTGGGAAGAGCGTTCCATAAGCTAGGTGCCGCCAAAGAGAAACACCTATGGCCATAACTTACTATCTTGACAGATGGTACTTTCAGTAAATTCTTGAGAGATGATCTCAAATTCCATAAGGCTCGGGCAGGTCAGTAACTAAGCTAGGTATTATCAACTAAGTTGATAACGATAATTGGCCACCGTAAAGAGTTTAAAAGCTGACTTTTCGAGCGTTAGCCCCTCGCAGCCAGGAGCTTGGCCGTTAAGCGCTTTGTAAGTTAATAGTAATATCTTTCGATTGATTTGATGGTTAACTGGAAGCCAGTGTAGCTGCTTTAGGACAGGCTCGATGTGATCATCCTTCTTGGTAAGAGTAATAACGTAGGGCGCAGCATTCTGCACATTTTGCAGGTGATCTATCAGAAATTTGGGTAGTCCACACAATAACGAATTTGCATTATCTAGCTTAGATGTAATGAATGCGTTACTAACTTTTCGGTGTCTGTTAGTGATAAACAGTCTCTTCTCTTGCTGATATTTCTACGGCAGAAGAAACAGGCCTTACAGGTACTGGTCACATGTTTATCTAGAAGTATGTACTCATCGACGACTCCAATATCTCTCGCAGAAGGGGATAGCTTGATCTGTTTACTAGACACATTGAGTGTACTCTATTGATGGGGGTGGACGGTGTCGTGCACTCAAGATCAGTAGCTTTGTCTTTCTTCTGTTCACTTTTCAACACTTCGAATCAAAATCACGCACCGAGTTTACTTTGGCGCGTATCATCGATGCTGAAAATTAGCCCGGTAAAAATGATTCCAAAAACACAGTAACAATCGCCTGTTTTTGTTTGATGAACACGAGGCTTCTGCTTCTGATGGTCAACTCGCCAGCATAGCGGTCACTTGGCTGATATACTTAGTCACCTCTTTTCTTTCAAGAGGTCAATCCAAGATTGATATTCATTTGAAAGAATTAAGTCAATGACCTCTGTGAACAAACAGCAAATGCAGCCCTAGTTCTTTTGCTTCAGGGAATGTATTGGTAACGGAAATTCACACCCGTTGTCCAGAGCAAATGTAACAAAGGTTTAGGTTCTTTTCGTGGAAGCCTAAGCTACTGTTTGCAGGGATAGCCGTTCGAGAGAAGACTGGTCACAAATGAATTGACACTCCGTCATGGCAATATGCATTATTGTGTAGCCCCACGTTGAACACTGAAGTGTCATGGCGCTTTCCTTCAAGGTACGTTAACATAACTTTTAGAGCTTGTGATATATTCAAACTTGTGGATTTGGTTAGTGAAAGAAATATTCTCAGCTCTAATTCAGGTGCCTTCAGTTTTCAAATATCTTAGGCTCCGTCTATCGACAAGGTAACGTGGTGTTCAGTGCTGATGGCGATTGTGTAGTGAGTCCAGTGGGTAACAGAGCATCTGTTTTTGACCTTAAAAAGTAAGCTTTAGTATGACTTTTTAAAATCGTAAACATACAAATATTTTGTTTCATCAGTTTTGGCAGTGGTGTATAATTATTCTAATTACTTGTAGTGCCAAAACACTCTAGTTTTGTGATTAAAAAAAACAGTGAATAGGGCTCTACTTAACAAATAGAGAAGCCTTGACTGTACTCTGTCCTGTTGTAAAGCACGCAGGAAGTGGCTAGAGATGTATTCGAGTGTTTCTCCCCACCTCTTGAGTAGGGAGAAGATTGCATGCACATAAAGATTGCTTGGGATGACAGAGCCATAAAACTTGGCTACAGTGGCTGATGTGGCTTTGTGTTCAATGCATTAGAAAGGAAACCAGAGCAAGCTCTTAGTTGTCCACTCAAAGAGTGGCCAATGTAATTTCTGAGGCTTGCTTCACTGCGAAGAATAAAGGTGGTCATGATGAGCTAACTGCAATGCACCTCAGCATGATTAAAGTCACTGTGACACTGGCATGATTAGTCTGAGTTTTTAGGTTACTTCCCACCTTAACCCTTTCACTCCCAAGATCTAATTAGTAGTTCTCCTTACTATCTTCCA